TCTTTCCTCTATTTCCTTTTACTTTCCTCTTGTCCCACTATCATGCTCAGTCTTCATTTGGGTTTCAGTAATTCCTCTTGGTTACATTACCCTTGATCACGCTTTACCAGACCTCCTACACCCTCCTCACCACCAATTTGGATCACTGTTGTTCCCTCCCCTTAACTGTTTATTTGGGCACTAATACAGCTACCATATGATTCCATAGTTCAATCCCATCAAGCAGTGTTGACAATTGTTACCACAATCAATTTCAAAGCATCCTCTTCCTTCTTGAAGTCCTTGGTATCAGCTCCCCTTTTGCACACACACAGTTAAGACGTTTGTGGTGGCTTAGAGAAAAGCAGTGACCTGCTTCAGGTCACACAGCTGATCAGCTAGTGGGCCAAACATTCCAGGGGGTAGGAGAGTGGAGTGCCTAGGTTCTTAATCAGGTCTTAGAACCTGGTTCCATTATGGCCAATGAAGGGACACCAGAACAAAGCTTTTTGTTGTTGCTGTTAAATGTGGGTGAGCTAGGATGCTGACCCAAACAGAAAACAGTGTGGGTCAAAGTCCCACCAGAAATGTCATCTCCCTCCGAGAAAGCAGAGGCAGCATGCCAGTAGAGGGACTGAAAGCTCGCTCGCTCTCCTGCTCCTGCCCGCCCTCGCCCATCTCCTGGCCGAGGGTCTCCGGGTAGCCCTAGCGGAGGGCCCGGTTTCTCAGGGGCTTGGCTCTGACGAACTAGAAGACTTTGGGCAGACTTGCCAAGCCTCTGCGTGTGGCCTGCCCCAGGAGAGCAGCAGTGGCAGAAGCCTGACACCTCACTGCCCCTGCTCCTAGTCACCCCATGCCAGCCCGCTCCTCCCCCAGGCAAAGAAGCCAGTCACTCTTATGAAACTCATCCCAGGTTGGGGGGGGAGGGTCCGTCTCAGGAAATGAGACGCCAGCACGCGGGGAGCCTGGGCCTTCTGTTTCAAACACCGCTGCCCACTCCCTGGGCCTCAGTCTGCCCATCTGCAAAGTGACACTGTTTTGGTCCCTGAACCCTTGGTCCCTGCCAGCTGACATCGTCCGTGCAGTGACTTGAGTGATTTTGAATAGTGCACCTCCTATCTGAAGGGACGGGACAGATGGTTCCAGTGCACAGGACATGGGGACGCATGCAGGCGTAACTCTTGCCCCTGCCTGGCTTGTAGGCAGCGTCCATGGGCTTTGTAAAGGGTTGCAGTTAGCTCTTACTCAGTAGAAGGATCCTGGATCCAGTAGCCAAAGAGATGGCGGCACTGAGATGGAGACATGTTCAGAGTCGGGGTCCCTCTCCCTGGGGCGGGGAGAGAGCTGAGCCAACTTTGGAAACTACAGCCATGAGCCCCGGATCCAAAGCATTGACCCTCAGTTTCCCCGAGCCCTCGGATGACCACAGGAACTTGGCCAGGGCTGTCCCTGAGGGCTGCCACCCAGGGTGCCCTGCAGGGGAGGTCTTTGGCTCCATTTAATGTGAGCAGTCACCTCTGCCCCAGCCCAGCAGAGACAGTAACAGATGACAAGAAGGTAAGAGATGAGGGATTCCGAATGAAATGTTCTGGATTAAAAATATATATATAGTGCTTAAAAAACAAAACAAAACAAGAGCAAGCCTTGTCTCAGGGGCCAGTTTTCCATGATGCTCTGAAATGGCTCAGTGGGTGTCAGCCTTTGTGACTGTGACTGGTATGATCTCCTGGGAGACTGCCCCACCCACTCCAAGGACCAGGCACTTCCCCTGCCTACCCTCTTCAGAGCCCAAGGCCTGGCCCCTTCACCCTGCGCCCAGGCTGCTGGAACATCGGGGCCCAGGCAGCGGCTCCTGACTGGGAAGCATCCCTCAGCCCACAGCAAGGCCTCTGCCCTTCTGTGGTCCTCAGGGTCTATACCAGAAGGGCCCAAGTGGCGCGTGAGCCAGGGCTCATGGCCCAGTGCAGTGTGCTGCCCCAGCCCCATTCTGCCTTGGCCCTTTACTGAGCAGGAGGGCAGCCGATGAATGTTCTGGGTCTGGGTTGGTCATGGAGCCGTCTGCTGCGTACTCCCAGGCCACCTGGGCAAGGTCCTCTCCTTCGGGGCCTCAGTTTCCCCATTAGTAAAAGTCAGGAGCCAGGCACGTCCTGCCCAAAGTCCTTGGATGAGGGCTGCCCTGAGGTGACGCCTGTTATTTTCCCCAGAGGACCACCCTTGGGAGCGTGCTAATGCCACAAGCGTTTACTGGGCAGCGACCGTGTGCCAGGGCCCTGCTGAGCAGGCCAGCCTTGGGCCTCTGGTGACACCGATGTCACACCGGGCAGTGTGTGACCGGTCCTCACTGGGGAACAGAAGCTTGGAGGAGGCATCCTGGAGGTGGTGGTGTGTGGGTTGCGATCTGTGGGAGAGGTGCTGAGGTCAGCCAGGTGCAGAGAAGGTGAAGGGGCTGTGTGCAGAGGAATTGGCATTGCAAAGCCGAGAGAGCGAGGCGAGACGAGGGCAGACTCCTTATCCGCTCTGGCCCCACTCCCATCAGTCATTAACCAGCCAGTCACTGGGGCCCGCCCAGCCCTGTTGTTAAAGACAGACTGGGCTCTGGACCTAACAATGTCAGTGGGCTATGGAGGGTGGTGGGGGAAGAGAGAGCGACCTGTGGAAGGAGGAGGGGCTGGGAGCCAGTTCCACCAGCCAGTGTATCCTGTCCTGTGGCTGAAGCGACTGTGTGGAGTGCCGCCTCAGCTTTCTCATCTGTACATGGGATGGGTAGCACTTCAGCAGAATGCCTGGCACACAGTAATGCGCTCAGTCTATGTTCCACGTGGATCGTGAAATTGTTACCCTGGTAGGGTCTCTTCTCGCCCCCCACCACCCCCACCCCACCCCCGCCCCAACAGAGCCCAGCCCTGTGGGGAGAAGCATCCTGGGCCACCCACATGGTGGTTTGTTGTATTTTGTCTTTCATTTCCTTTTTATGGCTTGTTGCTGGTTTTTCAAATCTATAATCGAAGGGGGGGGGGGGTGACCCAGCAGTAAATTCATCAATTCTGAATTCGAAAGAGAGTGACCAAGCAGCCAGTCTGGACTAGATGGAAGTTTGTTTCTTCCTCTTTTGTAAAAACGACTGCTTTTCTGCACTTTGCTTTCACATTCACCTGCACAACCTGGGTCCCCCTCCAGGGCCCAGGTAAATGTGCCCCCCCCCCCAATACTGTGGACTCTCAAGGTATGTATTCCCAGGGTTTTCAGGGCTGCAAGCAAAGCTGCAGAGAAAATCGCTTGCTCTGCCCTCCTAGTCAACATTTGCATAGGAGCTGTGAAACCTTAATCCTGGTTTCCGGCTTCTATTGAGCACTGTAGAGAAGCTGGCCCTGCCTGGGCCCACACTGGAGCCTGACAGCTCTCAGGCCTTCCCTTCAGAAGGGACCCCTGTGCCGCCTGCCCACCTCTTCCACCTCACCCACCCAGGCCCCAAGGCTTGAGTTTCTTGGCTGCTGCTCTGCATGTCACCCAAGACCCCTGGGCCTGAGGCTCGTCCTTAGCCTTGTTTCTCCACCTAAGTCTGACTCACCACCCTAAGCCGGACTCCAGGGAGGACCAGCCATCCACCTGGAAATACTCCCTCAGGAAAGGGGGCAGGTGAGGTCCTAAAGGTGCACGTTCTTTTAAAAAGCCGCTCATTAAAGGCCCCTCAAGGGCCTCCAGAGAGAAGCCCAGGGGCCCAGGAGAGCGGAGAAGGGCCTGCGTGTAGTGAGACTCTTGCCCGCTGCCATCGCAAGGTGCCCTGGTGGCACAATGGCTGAAGCACCCAGCTGCTAACAAATCGGCTGACCAGCTACACCAAAGGGAAACACTGGCAGTCAGCTTCCGTACAGATTAAACCAAAAACTCACTGCCGGTGAGTCGATGACTCACCGTCGCTCTGTCCGGCAGAGTGGAACTGCCCCTGTGGGTGGATTTCCGAGACGGCAACTCTTCGCCGGAGTAACTCTTCGTCTTCCTCCCGTGGCCCGGGTGGTGGCTTCAAACTACTGACCCCGCCGTTAGCAGCCCAGTGGAAAGCCACTACGTCACGAGGGCTCCTACTGGAATGATCACAGCCCTGGAAACCTTCGGTGCGGTCCTACTATGTCCTTGCAGGGCCGCTGTGAGTGGAATCCACTTGACTGCAGATAGGCTTGGGTACTTTGGTCTTGAAGTTCTTCATAACCGTGGGACGAAAGGTTAAGGATAATTCGTAATCATTTTTGAACGAGGGAGCCCCTCGTTTTCATTGTAACGTTGCTGTAGGGTGCCAGCGAGTCGAATTCAACTCACAAGCACCCATGTGGCAGAGTAGGGGGGCCCCATGGGGTTTTCTAGGTGGTGAGCTTGACAGGCCTTTCCTGCCAAGCGACCCAGTGAGTTTGAACCACTAGCCCTCCGGTGGGAAGCCTTAACCATTGACCCAGCCCTGGGTGGGCAGGCCCGTCCCTGGACCTCAGCAGCACCATCTGGGACATGGGTGGGTCGGGATTTTTCCCTGTGGGACAGTGCCCTCAGCCTGTGGGTCTGAACCAGACTCACAGTGTCACCTGCCTTGTCTCCCCGTAGGCAAGCGCTTCCAGGAGTGGTGTTGTGTGGTCCTGTGCTTCAGCCTCATCACCTACAACCTCGTCCACCTCCTGCTGCTGGCCTCCTGGGAGCACACGCCCCTCGTCATGCTAGGTGTGGGTGAGTGCCAAGGGTCCACTGCCTGCCTCGGTCTCCCCCAGGGGCCTTGCACGCGCCACCCCCACCCCCATCCCTGTGCTGCTCAGACATGCATGGGCACGCGTGTATACACGCGCAGGTTTCATGAGGGGAGAACTCTCCATCTATCGGTGGTGCCTCCTACCCTGAATGATTTAGTGAGGCTCAGTGTACCCCGCTTACCTGTGAGTTCCATCCTGTCCACACCAGGATCAGCATCACTTTCCAGAGGCGGCAGAGAGGAGCAGGAGGGGCCTGTCCGGAGCCAGATGCAGGTTACTGTCCTCATTGCACTGTCTGGTCCCTCCTGGCACTGAGTGACTCGGGGCCCTTCCTCTCAGCAGGACCCCTCCCCCTCCCTCCAGCTCGGGCATGCGTCCTCTACCCTGTCCCTGGGCTCCTGTGGCCTCCCAATGGCGCTCTGGAAGCCTAAGCCAATAGTGCTGGCTGACCGTGCCAGCTGCGGCTGGGTGGAATGACCAGGAGGATGGGTCAGGTGCCCTTCCCCGACCCCGGGAATGCACCACCCTCAAGGGCAAGGAAGGAGTCCACTGACCTTGGAGCCTCAGTGAGAGATGATTGTGCCCGTGCACATCTCAGCCCCCGTTTCCCGGCCACTTGGCCTCCCGTGGGTGTCGTGTGTAAGTGGATGTCTCATCAGTGACAGGACATGAGTGAGGAGGGGATGCTGCCCACCAGCCCATGGTCCGTGGCTTGGGCCTTCAGCCCCACCAGTCAGTTTCCTGGTGGTGATTTTGTGAGCACCCACAGGGTGCTTTTCCCAGTGGCCCTCCCCGGGGTGCCAGAGCTTGGGGTCTCAGGTCCCAGAGCTGCCCGGCTTCTATGCCACAGCTCTTCATGCTGAGGCTGCCGGCCTCTGGTTGTCATGGGGAGGATGGGAACCCTGGGCAGCAGGTCCAGGTGTGAGCTGGAGAGTGTAGGTGTCCCAAGCAGGTCACTAACTGCCTCCCTCAGGCCCAGGCCTGGGCCTCTAGACCCCATTCCAGCACGCCATTCTGAGGAGCCAGCTTCCTCGACCCACACTTCTCTCTGACTGTGGCCGATAAGGGTGACAATTCCCTGATAGTGATGTTTGCTCAGTCCCTAATCCATGTAAGCACCCAGCCTGATTTGTGTGCTAACTCAGAAGCACTGAGGGCGCCATGCCAGCCTGCTGAGCCCGCCCCCGGCCCTCACTATCTCCTCGGAGGTTCCGGTGTCCCAGGCAGGGCCCGGATACCAGGTCAGAGGCCTGGCACCTTGCCCAGTTAATAAACACAGGCCCCAGTGACACAGTGCTGGAAGCAAAATCAAGATCAGGGGGGCTTGGGGGTGAGGGTCCGGGATGGCCTCTATGGGAAAGTGGCATTTGACTTAGTGGAAACCTGAGGGAGGTGAGGATGAAGGCCTTGCAGCTGCCTGGGGTGGGCACTGCTGCCAGCAGGAACCGCAGCTGCCAAGGCCCTGCGACTGGGATGTGGGCTTAGAGAGGAAGGCAGGTCGGGGAGACGGTTGACCAAAGGTAAGGGGGCTGGTGGCAGTGCAGAGAGGCAGTGGGGATACATGGTTAGGGCCTTGAAAGCCATGGTTGGGAGAGCCAGCGGGTGACCCTGATGACACTGTGTGGCGCTGCGCAGGATGGGCAGGGTGAGATGGCGTCAAATTAAGAGGCACTTTGAGAGGGGAGCAGCCAGATGTGCTGCAGGGCACGTGGAGGTGGAGGTGGGAGAGGAGGGGCCCCACAGACCCCCAGGGAAGAGGCTGCTACTAACAGTTGCCTGCATGAGAACCAAGGGGAGGCGTCAGGCAGGGAAGTGGGGACACAGTCCAGGCCTGGGGGAGTCGACCAGAGATGGAAATCTGCAAATCAGTGGGGGGTGGGGGGCTGGAAGGCCTGAGGCTGGTGGCATGCCCCCAGGGGCTGAGCATTTGAGGGGAATCCATCTCGGGAGAGCAAGAAGAGGGTGTGTTTCCAGAGAACTTGGGTCAACTGGAAGCAGGCACCAAGAAGGCCTGCCCGGTGGGGACAGCAAAGGGACCTTTGGATTTGGCCAAGAGGAGGTCACTCATAGCAGCCTTGACTAAGACAGTGTGTCGTGAATGAGTGAAGGGACAGATGGTCATGGAGCCCAGAGCTAGCTACTTGTTCCACTTGACAAAAGGTGGGGGGTGGAGGGAAGCTGGGGAGGATGGGAGTTGGGCCTTGAGGGATGAGTAGGAGTTCTCTGGTGAGAGGTGAGGCTGTTCCAGTATAATGGCAGACAGTGAAGCCAGAGAGGTCTGCGGTGTCAGACCTCTGAGAAGGTCTGAGACCTCTGGCCTTATAGAGCTGGTCTGGTGAGGGTTGGTTTGGTTCTCAGTAGGAAAGGGTTAAAGGTCAGATTTGAACCCTGGGCCAGTTTGTGAGCTAAACCTGTGGGTTCATCTTTGGCAGTGTGGCCTGCTGTCTCTCTGTTAAGCCAGGCCTGCAGAATTGGCAGGGGCCAAGAAGTCCCAGCGGAGTCGGGGAGCGGAAGCCCCAAGGGGCCCAGGGACTATCTCCAGTCACCCCACCCCTCCTCTGTCCTAGTGTTCTCTAAAGCGGAGTGGTAACCAGGCCGAGGGTGAGACAGTGCCAGCTGCCATGCTACTATGAGAGCTGAGACAAAGAAGCTTCTGTCTGCTCTCCCCTGCCATCCTTGCCCCCGTTAAAGAGGTCTCAGGCAGCCAGCCTGAGCCTGCAGTCGCTGCTCTAGAAACAGCTTCCCACCGAGGCCCAGGAGTCACAGGCCCTTTCCCCCTGGAGGGAGAGGGGAGGGCGCCTCTCTCCCAAAATAATTCTCGACAGTGGCCACAGCTCAGGATCCTGGTGGCACGAACGGTTATCCACTGTGCTGCTAACTGTGAGGTTAGCAGTTTGAACCTATCAGACCCTCCGAGGGAGAAAGAGGAGGCTTTCTGTAAACATGTGCAGCCTCCGAGTCCCACGGGGGCAGTTGTCCTCAGGCCTGGACAGTGGCTGTGAGTGAGTGTTCAAAGTGCATCCCTTCCTGTTCGGTGGCCCTCTAAAAAGGCCAGGTTCTGGTCACTGGACAGGTGACAAGACTGAGCTCAGAAAGGGGAGTACCACTTAAAATGACTCATGACAAAGGCGTACTGCGTCCCAGGTTAATCAGCACTTGGCCAACTTTGACCCATTTTATCAACTCATTGTAGGCTAAGTGAGATGTTGGTCTTAGATGTTGGGTCACTGTCAACTCTTAGTGGCCCCATAGTTTCCTAGGCTGCCATCCCGATGGGAGAAGAATGCCAGGGCCTTTCTCCCTTGGAGCCATGGGATCGATTCAAACCACCTACCTTTGGGTGAAAGCATTCAGAGAAGAGCAGACACCAATTCGACACAAGCTACTCCAAAATATAGAAAAGGGCAGCAAACTCCCTAACTGATTTTGATGAAGCGAGCGTAACCCTGGCACCCACGCCAGGCAAAGACACGACCAAGGTGGAAGACTACAGACCCATCTCTCTTAGGAACAGAGATGCAAAGTCTCAACAAAATCTTGGCCAAATCGGAGCCAACAACATGCCCAGATAATAAGAATAATACACCATGAGTAAGTTGGAGCCAGAGCAGACAAGCAAGGATGGTACCACATTAGAAAACCAAGCCAGTCACCCACTGTGGAAACAATACAAAAGATAAGCACCACGTGACCATAGCTGGTGGCACCAAAGAGGCATGCATGTGGCAACATCCCACACTGATTTTAAAAAAACACCCAAGAAAAGAAGAATTGAAGGGAAATTTCTCAACACAACAAAGGCCGTAGACACAAAACTAACATCTCGCTCTATGGGGAGAGTGTGAAAGCACACTCCATTCCCTGAACAAGGACGGCCCCCCATCTATACTCTTGCTCCCCACTGTGCATGAAGGCTTAGCCCGGGCTAGTAGACAACAAAAAGCAATCATAGGAATCCAAACTGGCCAAGAAGAAGTGGAACTCTGTCTAGTTGCAGGTGATACGATTTTATAGGTAGAACACCCCCTTCCCCGGCCCCACAAAAGACTCCACAGCCACACGATCATTGGACACGATTGAAAGACTCAGTCACGTGGCAGGATACAAGAGGAACCCACAAGTCTTCCAGGTTCCTGTACACTTAGGAGACCTGAGAAAGCAATCGTGAAAAGAATAGCATTCACAACTGCCACACTGCCGCGCTGGTGAGGAGCTGAGCGTTTGTTTAACCCATGTGTGCCACCTGGGCTCTTCGAAGTAAGACGAAGAATGTCCCCGTTTCCCAGAAAGTTCCCGCTTCATGAATCACCATAGCGGTGGCCCCTGACCACTGGCCACCAGCCCTGACTTGTCTCTGCCACCCTGTGACCTTGGCTGGTCCTAACCCTCCAGGTCTGTTTCTTCCTCAGGAAAGTCAGGGTGTGGTTTAGCCCAGAACTATAGAGATGAAAGGAGATAACCCACTTGGGGGGAGGGAAAAAAAAAAGACAAGGCGCCCTTTTTGGAGACAATTTCAAGTTTAGCAGAAAACCTGAGCAGCTAGTACAGAGAACTTCTGTATATCCAGCCCCCTCCAGTCGCTCCCCTTGTTACCATCACATTAGCTTAGTAGCCCCAGAAGACAGAGCAGCGCTGTCCCTAGAGCCCCCAAGGCTGCCATTGTTACAGGAGCAGATGCCACACCTTTCTCCCGCTGAGTGGCAGATAGCCCTTTAACTGCTGTACCATCGGGACTCCTGTAACATCTTAGGGCGTTACATTTGTTACGATGAATGTAACAGATTTCATTATGGTCACCGATACGTTGTTATTAACCCTACAGTCCATTCTTTATAAATGACCGAAGATGCTTTGTTATGACCTCAAGTCCAAACTTTGAGGAGCCCTGGTCACCCAGGGGTGAAACACTTGCTCGGCTGCTAACCAGAATAGCTGATAACAGGAGTCAGTGTGACGCTCCTGGATTTGAAAAGCCCCTGG